CCCCAAAACCCCAAAACCCCAAAACCCCTTTTTTTAATAAATATATTGAAATTATTAACAATTTATTATAAAAAGGTACAGAGTATCTTCTTCCTCAGGAGCTATTGGTGAATTACAAGTTTTATACACCTTAAAGCTAATAGAATACTCAATCCTTTCCCATAGAAAAGTTCCTTACCTATGATATAGACCGAGTAGATGGTAGAAGAGCACTTTTTCAGATTCTTCAGAAGAACAGCAAATCATTTCAGAAGACTTGCTTATAAAACAGTTTTCATCAAACGACAGGTAATTATCCAATAATTCTCTTCTTTATGATTAATAAATCAAACTAAGTCATCATATAGGTTATCATTGTCTACCTGTCCTGGCGGAGAAATAGGCAAGCTCTTGAAAGGCGGAGTTTGTTTAATACGACTGTTGATTTCAGAGTTCAGAAAGCAATACTCTTTTGAAAATATATGAAATATCGAAGAGAAGCTGGCTTTATAGCTTATCAGAATCAAAGAGAGATGTTTAGAGGAAGTTTGAGGATCATATTTCCGGTCCGACCATCCATAACTCAGATCCATTTTTACTCTATTCAAATAAGAGATAAACTTTCCGGGCATGACAACTTAGGATTAATGATTTTTGAGGAAGAAAAACCAAAAGAAGTTTGGGGAAGGGATCTTGATTCTATCTTTCTATCAAAGAATACTGCCATCAAATAAAATCCTAGACGTAGATTTAATCGATGCTGGAGAGACTATCATGGAAGAAATCTCAGATTATACAATTACCAGCGAGAGTGCCAGTATAAAGGATGAGAAAAGTGAATGCAGTGATCAAATTTCAGCTCTCCCAGAAGAAAGCACAAAGTAAATCTATTTTATAGCAGAAATTTATTTTCTATAGAGACTATGAATATGGACTTCAGAATTGGAGTGACATCAAATACCTCAACAAAGAAATCCCTCTTGACAAGACAGAGTATATCATTGAGGGTGAAGGATACATCTCTAGCAGTTCTTCTGAGTATTAGTTATTATATTGTACAAAAGAAAAGTAAGACTTATTTACAACCAATAATTTTCAATAATAAGTTAAGAACAAGGGGTTTTGGGGTTTTGGGGTTTTGGGGTTTTGGGGTTTTGGGG